TGACCAAACATTACCTCTGAGGATTCATAATTAAATGATTTGATTTTTCATAATTCCATAGACTATTCTATTTGCTCTTAAATACCGTCTCAGATAATAGGTCCTGTTTTACCAATAGGAAGTTTGAGAGTTTCTGCAGAGTAATGGCTTTTGCATCAACCTAAAAGATATTCCTCATCTTATGTACACTTTTGTTACTCAATCGTACAATATTGGTTTTTGCTTTAATGTCGACCCCACGGCCATTTTTACCTACACCCGGCTCACCACTTGTCTCCACGGTGAGTTCCGACACTGACGTATGCTCTCGTCGCTTCACCCGTTTTCCGTTCGATTGTAGCCTTTCTCGAATGTAATCCGTTGTATCCGTTCTTCCGGGTTTCTGATATTCGCACCAGAGCAAGGACACTCTCGGACTAGTATAGACTAGTCCTACACAGTCATCACGTGCGTACAGCCCCATATTGTCCTTAGTCAAATGGATTAGCCGAAAGGGTGGTGGCGACGGTGAAAAGGGGCCTGCCAAAGCAGTTTTCGGGAACCGTACAAATGCGATTAGATGTATTACTTTTTGCCTACTAAATAACTCCAACAGAATCCAGGGCTAAATTCGCCGCAGGGCTGATGTTCGGTAGAACACTGTACTAGATTACCCTTATTATTTTCTAATCGTCGAGATCAACTAAAAGTGAAACAAAACAAGGCAGCCGCGTTTTGGCAGGGATCATGTGTATACACGATTTCCCCACGAATAGTCATGGCAGCCCGCAACCGTGATCACCAGTGATGGTACCCAGGCTGACTTAGAGTTAAATGGTCGCGTCTTGAGGCGGCATTCAGATCACATACGTCCGCGTTGTGTAGCAACATGAGAAAAGGAGGGAAATATATCTGACCCAATCCAGCTAACGGTGAAACAAATTACTCAGGATACGGCGCAAACAATAAACTGCCCATCACTTCGCAGAGCTCAACGTGTACTTAAACCTGTTGAATATTTCGTTCCCGGAGTATGCTCTTCTTCAAGAGAGGACGGGAGATTACGTCAGTCGCTCACGCGGATCGGTTATTTCAGCCACACCCGCGTTCATCTTGGTTTGCCTCGCATTGACCAATCAGTAGATCTTCACGTCGTGCTTTAAACCATGTGTCATGTGACCTATGTGCGCAATTTATGACCCGATACACTATGCTTCCTACTGTGCCTTGTTCTGCCTAACTCCGGTCTGGGAACGTGCTATCTGGAATTCGCTGATACGTACTACCACCGCAGTCCTGTTTCTCGACATCAAAGATGTCTTCGTTTCGGTGTATCGATGTGCCCTTTGGGACTGTCTGCAAAAGGAAGGTGTGCCCAAATGGTACGTAAACATTATGAGAGCGGTGTACACGCATATTTCGGGCAGAGTGAGGGTTTTATGACAAAATGTGGTCGCGCTTCAATATCTCCAACGGTGTGAGACATGGTTGCCCGTTGTCACCTTTCCACTTTAACTTTGCTGTTGAAGAATTCATGGAAGTAGCGTTCTCTGGACACGACCTAGATGGTGTGGAACTACGTCTTTTTGAGCACCTACTCGTCTTGGAATACGCGAACACCATTGACCTCGTATGTGATAGTGCCCAAACGTACCAGAGAGCAATGGATAGGTTAGCATTGGCTGTCAATCGTTTTGGAGTTTTACTAAATCGAAATGCAAAGTCCGTCCCCAAGATTAGTAGGGATCTAACCCTTCGCTGGCCCTCGGTGGTGGACATTGTTAAGCGCGATTTAGAATAAACCACCTAAGATCCTCTAACGAGCGAAGAAGTCCCTTGTCCGGGGTCAGACTTAGATATAGCCACCTCAGTTCTGGTCTTATGGGAGCAAGTAACCCGGTGCGGATCTTCGCTGAAGTTATTGACATGGGTTACGTTGGTACTTTGCGCTTGCGTAACTACCACTGCATATGATTCTGTGGGAATCCTCTTGCTACATATCAGCTCTTACAACAGCTCTCCTGCTCCTTTGGTATCCAAGACACGATATTTGTGCTTACAGCGATAACGGTAATCCAATGCGTTATCTTTAGTCACTAGTAAAGCTAAGGCCACAATTCTTGCCATCACCTGTGCGGCGGCATGTCCGCACATATGAATGCAGAAAATAATCAATTTGAATTGGAGCACGTCAAGATAATTGGTAGGACAAGAAGCCAGAAGCCTGGCATTTTAGACAGAACTCAATCAACAGACCGTCAGAAGTACATACCGCCCCTGAAGCAATGAGGATCAGAACAGCTATTTACCTCAGGTCAACAGGACGTGTCGAACATCAGTGAAGCGAATGGATGTCAACAAATCGGAGGATATGATTACTTGACCAACCCAGGTGAACCCATCTAAAGTGACATTCAATTCAGCTGATCAACAGTGATCGCTTGGATCTAGAAGAGGCCTGCCAGAGTCACACCAAAGGTGTTGGCAGTCAAAGTACTCGGCGAAGGGAACACCCGAGCTACAAATAGTATTGTGTTTCGCTCTTACTGTTTTCGTAATTCACTCGATATTGCTCCTCTAATTCATGTCGCACGCACATGCGCTTTCAATTATTTGTATCACATTGTCGAGTCCTACTCAGTCTTTTCTCGAATAAGGACGAATTTCACCCTTACTTCTCATAAACAACAGCAAGCATGCTATCGGTGTTGGCCATAAGCCACTTCCCGTAGTCGTCAGAGCTACACACAGCATGGAACGGATGTATTCAAACCGGAAAGCTGGAACCGTGTTTTTCTTCCTCAACAAACATCTACGAGTACACCCTTGACCCTTGCGAAGCCCATGTTGGGCAAATAAAACGGAACTGTTATCGTTGATTGGTTTGGGGTACTGCTTGCGCCGATCTACTAAGAAGCACAAGCTCTTTTTAGGTCACTAGCTACTTTGAATTAGATCCGCTTCGGTGCTTCATCAAGCACTTCTGGTAGAAATAACCGAACTTAGAGCCAGACCCAGGACAAAAAGAGTAACGTCGACACATTTACATCTACACTATCATCCTCCCTAAGCGGTTAATGTGCGTACGTATCGTGTGCCAAGACCAACGTAAACAATTCGTGGATATCAGGAACTAACCCACTCATCACCATCTAACGCCCGCCTGAGCAACTCGCAGTTGCAGATAAGCTGCTACCGGCTAACTTCAGCGATTTTCCACAGGTTACGATAACCAAAGTAGATGTATATTGATATCTTCTAGCTGAAAGGGTGGTGTTTTTGCCAAGACGGATCACAATCCTCATTACGATGATGAAATTACAGCCCTAATGCTCGAGGGGAATACTTTTCTGGTTGAACTGATATCGTGGAAACAGCAATGCATTTCTGATCCGTGTAATATGTCAAGCAAACTTATCCCCTCCCTGTCACTTAGCTGCCGTGAGAAGACACGTTGTCAAATATATCTAGTAGCTTTTTGTCAAGCATCAAAATATTAACAAGGGGCTGCTCATCCTTCAAACACATTCTGATCACTGAATACGCAATGCGTATGCCAACGAATAAGAGCAATCCAGTAAGTATGTCGAAAACTTACTGTGCCAACTTTCCATTGTCAAACAGCAAGACGATGTCTGACTCATAACGTGACGTGACCTGAAGCGTTGTAGTACAGGGTACCTCTCCGGGTATGTTTATTCATAACAAGAGGAAGCGATTCACTGAGGCGATTGCGCACTTGAAGCCGTGAAACACAGCATCAAGTAACCTGGGGTACGCATAACGGTGCCTACACACTTCCATCCTTGTCTAATGCCTATCTGCTCTTCTTTAGTTGAGATTTCCGTTCAGCTCAGACTTAGCAGCAGGGAATACGGGTGATTAACTTTGGCATTGTCTGTGGTTATTACAGGCGTCGCGAATACTCCAGCTAAGACAAGTTTTATATACCGAATTCTTAGTAACTGCTTAATCCGTTCTTTGCAGAGGGTCTCGTCGCTATTATTGGATAGCGAAGGCAAGGGAAAAATCCTAACCATGTAGGGAGGTGATGGCAACTTTAGCTTCAAAATTAACTTGTACTAGTTTAACGCGCCCCATCTGGGCAGTAAGCAGCTTAGACAAAGACAAACTGAACATTTCCAGTAAGTGCTCGGCGAGTTAGGGGACCTTTTTTAACGTGAATCACGCCACCACTATTGTATCTGTTTGTCACAATGGTCTATGAACCCCTGGGGCCAGTAGTGTGGATCACCTGGTAGAGTCCGCTGAATTTACGTCATGATTTAATACCCCTTACATTTTCTGAACTCTCTGAGTCCATGGTTCGCCTCACACGATTGGCTGCATGGTAGCATTGCACTCAATGCAAGCAAAGATTCTTCTGGATACTAAAAGGTCCACAGGTCCTTCGGATATTCAGAACCAGGTGTACTAACGACTGATATTGTCTGATACGGAGCTCTCAGAGCCGTGCATTGCAGTGCAAACCCATAGTCAGTCACTGAGTTCAGAACAAGTACATGAATATCTACATGTTTAACCGGTGGGATGGACTGCATTACCCGGTAGCGTGTAAACGTCGACGCCGCAATCTAGCAGTGACTTTATTTTGATTTTGTTTTTTTTCAGTTGACGAGAAAGATGTTGCCAAAGCTAGTGCCATCGTGTTAGTCGATGTCCCGTGTCAACCACACACTGAACAGTATATCTACTGACGGAACCTACACGACCGTTAGGTTATTTTATATTTTATGCTCACATGAAAGGTCATGAAAATTGACACCTCTGACGTTTCGCTTCTTTTCCTCACTAATGTTAGGTAGTCTCGTCTGAACCTGTGTGTACTAGTTGCGGGATAACGTAGTATCTATCGATAATTGGTTAGACCGAGCTTCACATATTTGACTTTGCCCTTTCTACACTAAGCCAGATATCTTAGAGTGGGTCAAGGCGTCTCAATCACGGACCGCTAAATTGTTCAGTTACGGTATATCAGCATTCGAGCTATTTTGTCTTACCGTCGCTTAGACTGATCAGCAGGCTGGCACAGTCGCCTTCTTTCAGTTCCAATTCATCTCCCTCCAAAGCGGAGTAGGATTTTGTTGCCAACACTTGCGGGCAATCTGTATGTGAACAAGAAGACAAGCGAACTGTTTACGGTATTTTGAGGGAAGGCGGAATCAGAGTACTTTGGAAACCAATACGTTGGTGACCAGGGGTATAACACTGGTGTCTGAGATACAAAAGTCTTATCAAGTAAGCTGCGTGTTCTGATCAGATGAGACCAGTATGAGCAAATCCATCTGTACAACAGATACTTAATGTATACACAAGGGTCGTTCAAGTCCATCCAGGACATTTTCGGAATCAAAGTCTAATCCCAAAGTGAAGTTAATTCATACTATGGGAAATCTAAAACTGTGCGTGTTACTGATCTCGTACATTATACAATGTAAAATCATTTAAAACAGCGCGCAACATGGCGGCCTTGCATACTGGACAGCTTGTTGCAATGAGTTATAATAAAGGAGGGTATGAAACTAGCTGAAATTTATGGATGACTTCAATTACATTATGCTAGTAAGACAAGTAGTCGCAAGTAATCTTAAGAGCATCAAGTTTCCACTAGGTCTGTCGCTGATCAACCCGGTCGAGGTGGCTCCCAGACCACAGCTATCACTCCTCGGAAAGTTCAGCGCGTTGCAATCCATTCACACAAAGAGTGCCTCGGAACGACTCATCGAATAATGTGTTACGTTAACAACAGTAGACACAATAATCATTTGTTACCTCACAAAATGAGTATCAAGCGAGTTTCAAAACAGCTTTTTTGCTTCTAACCGACAGACGAACTGAAGTCTACTGGAAGGCTATCGCCATATCTTTTCATTGTGTATACTCATAAGAAAACGATTTGGTAACTTAAAATAATTCCTCCTGAGTCAACGGTTCCACATAACAGATGAAATAAAGTATGCAACCCCAAAATGGTTCAGGCGGTGACTAAATTTTCTACTGAGGATTTTAATATATTTTTAAAACTGTGATAAGTATAAAAATATAGCAAAGGAATAAACAAAAGGAAATACGCTGGTACCACGTAATGGAGTCAGTAAGACTAGCATTTCTTAAGATGGTCCGGATCGACAAAAATGCAATGCATATATATATATATATATATATATATATATATATAATTAGCGGCGTCCGGTTTCGGATTTGCATGTCACTGTGGACAGCCACAGGACGCCTGCGCCTAGAGGGACCATAGGTGGCTTGCACTGCACCACCCACAGCTCCAACCACACACCCCATATCCAGTGGAAATCCGAAGGAATAAGACCGTGTGGCATGTGGATGGGAGGCACGTTTCATCAACGGAGCCGGCTCACACTCCTTCAAGGCAAACATAAACACCCTGTAATTGGGAATCAAGCGCACACAAGGCGGTGGCTGGACCGTGGTCCGCTCCAACCTGAGTGCACGCAACCACTCTTCGGGCCTAGCACGACCACAAGAACTGTGCAAGCCGTCCCCTCCAGCAACGACCAACTGTCTCCTGGAGCCAGTATGAACGATGTAGTGGGTAATAGACAGGTAGGCACCTTGACAACATGCACATCAAGCGCAGCCACACCGGGGATATCAAGCAACAGCAATTCACTTTAAACGACAAGATGAAGTAATATAAATCCAATAATGCCTACAGTGGCATAACTCTTCGAGATTAGCATATGAAGTAAGTTGGTTAGCAATGAATCCGCGATAAGGAAAAAATGTCCACAAGTTACTTAAAAATGCTACAAACGCAACAAACTTACCCAAGATAAGCTCAATTAGAGTAAGCAGTGTGGCCAGTTAATAGAAGATTATTCAGGTAGGCAGAACAAACCAAATAAAGTGGAATGTAAATTATCCAGCTTAAAAAGACCTAGTTTTTAGTTGGTTTAGCTCAACTGCGGTGAAAAATCATCACGAATGCAACATCAGCCTCAGCATGGGGCACGCATATATATATATATATATATATATATATATATATCGTGACATCAACTTGCAAGTTGTTTTAGCGAAGTGATTGTTCAGCTTCTGCTCAACCGACTGTTCACTGAGAACCTTGAACCCAACGTTGCTGAAGAGAAATTCGGATTCCGTTCGGGCCGCAGAACGATAAATGTGGTGTTCGCGGCTCGTTAATTGTATCAGAATCGTCTTGCATGAGACCAACAGTTCTACTTGTTGTATACTGATTTCAACAAGATATTAGACAAGTTATACCACGGTGCGCGGTGACTAGTTTTGAGTAAGTTTGTTTGCCTAGGTCACTTTTTTAGTCTTACTGTATACATGCACAGTGATATGCGAGCGAGGGTGTATCATTGTGGAAAAATCACGTATGCCTTAGGACATGGTCTTGGTCACCGAAACGTGACTGAATACGGAGATAAATGATGCTGAGATTGCTCTACCTGGCATGATTTCCGTGCGATACCATCGACACAGTAGAGGAGGGGCGGTTCTTCTGTATTATCAATCTGACCTGCATGTTGATATAATTGACGATCCAGAAACGCAGTCAATTCAATTTGGTGCTGTCTGCGCCTGAGACGTGGTGATATGTGCTTACTAGTAATAGTTTACCGCCCTCCAATGTCCATTTTGGAAACTGATCACCGCCTAATTTTTGCGATGAAGCGAGTCTTGTCACGGTTATACATTCCAGCCCTTCTGGCGGGTGACTACAAGCTACACGCAATCGAAGTCCCTGCATCTCTCAGCGAACAACGCAAGGCTGACTTGCAAGAAGTAATCGTCGATGTACAGCTGTACAACCACGTCACCACTCCCACGTGATACAGAATGGGTGACGAACCAACTATTTTAGATCTTGTGTTCACCAACGAATGGGCAGAAAAGAACCAGCTCCCACTGAAACCTGCAAAGTGCTACCTGCTGACGGTGCACAACAGCTTCGTCAACACATACCTTTTGGTGCAACACGCCATGCAACACGTGACGAGTGAACGCGACCTAGGTATAATCGTGCAAGTGAATCTTGGAAATTCGCTCCAATGTTCCAAAGCAGCAAGTGTGGCGAACTTGAACTTGAGACTTTTGAGGCGAGCTCATGGCACTTTTGAGCGACAGCTAGTATCATTGTTGATTAACTCTTACATTCGTCTTCATGTTGAATATGCAATTCAGGCTGGGTGTCCATGGTTAAAACGAGACATCCGCCTATTGGAACAGCCCCAAAGAAGAGCCACAAAGGCAACGCGTGGACTATCCGGTATAAGTTACGAAATGCGTCTTCGTGTACTCGATGTGTTCCCATTAGAATACCGACGGCTTCGCGGAGATCTTACTCTCACATACCGGATACTAACCGATAGCGAGCATCGATGTACATCACTGTTGACCCTGGCCACTTACAAACAAAACCGAGGCAACCACCTGAAACTAATGACGCAACACTCTCGTTTGAATTGTGGAAGGTATTTTTCTCACTTAGAATCTGTTCTCACTGGAATGCATTAAAAAACTATGTGGTGAACGCACCAGACATTCGGAAGACTCTTAGATTTTCATCTTAGTGATAAACGATACACAACACTTTGTTAAAGTGCAATGATTTAACCACTTATACTTTACGTTCCACGTTGGCCCATTTTGCTTTTAATTTTCTTTTGCATATCCATCCTGTGGGTCTTGTAAAGTTATGCTTTTTATCCCATCATACACCACTGAGCCATTGAATTGGGAACTTATCTATTCGAAATGGGAAATCCCTGTAATAATTCCAGGCAGAAAAATCTCAAGGCATAAAATGTGAGATAAATTAATCGTTCCGTACAAGCTCGCTAATCAAAAGTATGCAAAATTATTGCGTACAGAATCAGCTAACTGAGAGGCTGAACCTTATTTATTAGCGCGAGGCGCGACGATTGGCTAATGGTTGGCCACCTATTGTTTTCATATGACCGCGTTTTGTATATGCATAATTTTGCATGATTAAGTTACTAATGGTCAGTATTGTGAACACAGATTCACCGCTCAACCGTAGCGATCACGCAAAGCCAATCTTTCGCTACATCAGCTAGGCAGAATATATCATTGGAAACGAAGGAGAAACTCACTTTATCAAGCATTACGAAATTTTGTCCGACGTCGCTCAAGAAACCAACTGGTCTTTTCTAACGGAAACGTCTCTCGATATAGCTTTGACAGAGTTTGTTACCCAGTTAAGCGGTCTAGTGGCAAATGCACTGGAAACCAAGATCATTCGCCCGAAACAAGCGAAGTCCTACCTGAGGAGCGGGATTCGAATGTGCACAGCCTCGAAGAATTCAGTCTGGTGCGCTCATGAAGACTTTCCGAGTAATCAGGCCTGGGATGCCTATACAACTCAACGAAAACATTGGGTCAAGTTTCCCCGTGGAGTCAAACTTCGGCACTAACAAGACTTAGCGATGAAATTCAATATTAATTTAAAATACTGTATAGGCACGTCAACAAGCTCCACGGAGTGCAGCGTGGAATTCCAGTTATACGTGTAACAGATGGCCCGGCGCTAACTACACAAGAAGTGTCCAACACGATTCGATAACACTTCATCCGCGTTTCACAGAGTGAATTGTCCGCTCACCCGTTTTTGACACAACTTCATTTCACCCAGGGTTTAGCCACGTCTCATCCACTGCAGCAAATGTGATAAAAGTATTATTCATATTGCGCGTACACAGCACTTCTGGGGTGGATCACATCAGACCTAAGATATTAGACAGCCGCCATGAATCTTACCGAAGCATTAGCTCGGTTTTTTCAACGTTGTTACGATGTAATACAGTTCCTAACAATGTGGAAACTTGGAACAGCTACACCTCTATACAGGAGTGGCAATTGTGTGGAATCCTCGAACTACCGACCAACAACTCCTGTCTCCGTGCTATCCAAACTAATGGAAGATACTAGCGCAGTGGCGCTCATGGGAGACCTTAAGGACAACAACCTTATTGTGTAACAGCAGCGCGGATTCTGCCGAAATCGGTCCTGCACTACAACCTCGCTGCTGGTCCGAGTACGCAGGACCGAAGCAGTCGATCCCAGGTTAGGAGTCGGCATC